GGTGGGTTTCCAAGACTATAATTCTTTAGGAGAATAGAAAGCCCCTTGTTCCTCCCAAGGAGCAGCTGGTGATTTTGAACAGCTGGCTGTGCAAATCCCATCCCAGTACATAACCACAACACCACTATAGCTCCTGTTAGCTGTTTAAGTTGCATTTTATATAATATTCTGATTTTTTAAATTCTATCATAAAGATGTGTTGAGTTTTATCATCAGAAATGTCTTTAAGAGAATGAATGAAAAGTGGAGACATCACCAATAGACTGTTCTTCCCAGGAAAGGAACTGAACTTTAAATTTTTGATCACTTCCCAGAAACAGATAAAGCAAGAAAGCTGTTATTTAAAAAACAGAAAGAAAGAAAACTGAGATTGAGAACAAGAACTCATTTCCCAAGTCATGAGATACAGACATTGTCCTCAAGGAGGGTCAGCAAACTGTGGCTCGAGAGCCAGGTGCAGTTCTTTCAGTCCGTACATGTGGCTCAAGAAAAACTGAAAATGAAAATAAAGCAAACATAGTTTCATTTAAAGGATAGTATTCAGATAATGGTTATTTCATTTGTCTGTAAAAATATATTTATAGCTCTCAAATAATCTTTAAATTGTTGTGAGGGACAGGATTGGCTCTTCAGTCCACCCACCCCTGTCCTAGAGAATGGCCAGGTGTATACATTTGGTGAGACTAAGCCACAAAGAAGCACAGGTAGCTATTTTCATTATTGATCGATTAGAATTCATTACAAAAGAGTTGCAAGGATAATTGGATTGTGTGCCCAATCGGTGTCTTACCTTTCTACCAATGCTCTAACAGAAATACCACAAATGGGTGGTTTTAAACCAGTGGTTCTCAACCTGTGGGTCACGACTCCTTTTGGGGGGTTATACAACCCTTTCACAGGGGTCGCCCAATTCATAACAGTAGCAAAACTACAGTTATGAAGTAGGAACAAAAATAAATTTATGGAACTGTATTAAGGGGTTGCAGCATTAAGAAGGTTGAGAACCACTGCTTTAAACAAATAGAAATTTATTTTCTTATAGTTTAGGAGGCTAGAAGTCAAAATTCAGGGCACACGCTTTAGGGCAAGTTTTCCTCTTGCTGTTGCCTGTAGAGGAATGAATGTCCTTTACGCAGCTTCTTTTCCTTGACTCCTTGGTGATCGTCATGTCGTGTGGCTTCCATCTTCCTCCATCTCAGCTTGCTTGCTGGCCTATTTACCTCGTATCTATCTCAAAACAGATTGACTTAAGGTATGCAATAAGGTATGTTGATACTCTCTCATTAGCAAGAAAACTCATTCCCAAAGGGGATTAGAACCACAGGTAAAGGGGTTAGGATTGACATCACATATTTTGGGGGAACAGAATTCAAATCAGAACAACTAATTTCACTGACATGGGATTGATTCTGACTTACAGTGATCCCATGGGACAGGATAGAACTGCCCCTGTGGGTTTCCAAGACTGTAACTGTTTACAGAAGTAGAAAGCTTGGTTTTTCACCCTCAGAGTGACTGGTGGTTTCAAACTGCTGGCCTTGCAGTTAGCAATCCAATGCATAACCACTATCCCATCGGGACTCCAGAACAAGCCATAAAGTGGCCATATAATATTCAGGAACTTCTGAGAATGGTTGACTTATTTGGAATGAGTGAGCTTCAGAGTCCTTTAAGAACAAAAGGCAAATGCGGGACCAAATGTTTCTATAAGCCAATGGTTTCATTAGGTAGAAATAACTGAAGAAATGAAATGCAACCCAACAGGTGGCCTGGCTGTTGAAATGAGTCTCAATGGTTGTGTCTGGAAATGGTCGTACAAACAGAGCTTTCTAATCTGGATGAGTGTTAGAGCCTAATTTCCAGCCGTGAGATATTGAATCTGCTCAAAGTTAGGGATTTGCTACATAAATTATAATACATCCATATAAGGGGCTATCATGCAATCATAAAAATCACACCTCTAAAGTAATTAATGGCATATAAAATGCTAAGTAGAAAAATCAAGATACAAAATTGTATACATAGGTCAATTTGGTTAAAATCATTTTTTCTTGTATTCTTAACATTTTTTTATTAGGCGTGTAAATATTGGAATTGCTCAAATATCATTTTGGGACTCTCTTGCTTACTTAAGAATATGAAATTGAAAGTTAAGATGATATTTACTCACTTGTTCAATAAGCATTGGTTACTTATGTTCTGTGGGTCAGGAGTCAAGCTCTGTGCAGGACATCTGTTAGTATCTTAGAGGGCCTTTAACAGTACTATCACAAGTGACTTACTTTAATCAACAGTAGTTTATTTCCCCACATATTAAGAAGCTAGACCTGCATTCAAGGCACCAACTCTAAGGAAAGAGTTTCTCTCTGTGCCAGTTCTAGCTGAAGTGCCTTATCTCTTTTCTGCTTCTTTTCCTTGGTTTCTTGATGATCTTCACAGTGGCTTGTAGCTTCCCCTCCTTCTGTTCTTCCCTCTTGGAGCCTAATCTGCTCCTTTGACATCTCAAAGGTAATTGATGTAAAACACAGCCTATACTGTCTCAACAATGCAACAGGAAAGTCCTGTTGTCAAATAGGATTATATCCACAGATGGAGGACTTTAAGACTAACAATATATGTTTCCAGAGGTCACAAGTTAATCCATAACAGAAGGCAAACTGAATATTATACGTGAGTCCCAAGCATGTCACAGTCTCTCGGCCAAGGGTGAAGGGAGAGAAGCAGCAATAGTGAACCAACCTTGAGTAATGGCTGAAAGTGGAGGGTTTTCTGTGGAAATTCAGGAGAGGGCATGACAGTCTTGGTCAGAGAAACCAGCAAAGACTTCGCAAAGGAGGCAACATTGCTTCAGATCTTCAAGGGTTTTTGGGAGAAGGGACAGGCAAGGCATCCAGGGAAGATGGTGTAACAAAAGTATTGCTGATATTATTCTTCATTGCCACTGAGTCTATTCTGACTCACAGTGACCCCGTGTGTGTTGATGTTCTACCTCGGGTTTTCAAGACTGGCCTGTCAGAAGCAGATGGCCAGCCTTAAGCTTCCAAGGCATTTCTGGTCATGTTCAAACTGTCAGCTATCCAGCTAGTACTCCATTTAACCCATTTGTTATACTGAGGTTGTCTAAGCAAAAAAAAAAAAAAGCATACTTCATGCTAAATATTCTCCCTCTCTCACATGGAAAGACAATCCAACTGGATGTTGAAATACTAAAAAGGTGACTAATTCTCAGGAGTCTCTGGGCAGGCATGTGCATTATGCCCAGTGTTTATCTTTGCACAAGAACATTTTGACCCACAGAATGCATGACAGAAGAGGCAGTAAGGTTAAAAATTAGCATCCTGTCGTTTGATCTCCCTTATCATCCATTTGAATTTGTTCCAGTTTTTAATATTTCCCTGTTTCTTTTTTATTAAGGTTTTTATCTGTTTTTATTTTATTGTTGTTAGCTTGGGGAGGCGGGGTTCTTTTGATGTTTTTGTACAAGTATATAAAATACAGGATATGTAAATCTATAGAGACAGTAACTAAATGAATGGCTCCTTGAGGGTATGGCATGGGAGTTTGGAGGGAAATGGGGAGTTAATAACAATGGGTAAAGAATGAAGAAAATATTCTAAAATGGGTTGTAGTGATGATGGTACAACTCTTCTTGATGTGACTGAACTATTGAATTGTATAATATGTAAACTATATGCCAATAAAACTTGGGGGTGGGGAATTAGTCAAAAATTAGAGAGAAAGAAGAATGCTCCACAGAGAACTTTCACCCCTATTGATAATCCCCACCTTAAACTGCAATGTCCTTGAAGGTTTCTAGGCTCACTTCCTGAGCAGCTATCACAAAAGGTCTTCATTGCAGCCTGGTGTCAACTCAGAATGTTCGTTAGAGCCCACAGGGGTGGGGAAGAAAGAAAGACAATCATTACCAGTTAGACCTATCATCCTATTCACTACCATCAAGTCCATTTCAACACATAGTGACCCAAGGTAGAGTCTCCAAGGCTGTAAATCTTCACAGCTTTAACATCTGTGAAAGATGCAGCTAGCATCTGCTTTCCCTCAAGAATGTGAGTTTGAAGCCTGGACTTGGTGGTGGCTAGTATTGCAACACTCTCCCGACAGTATCACCAGAACTCCCAGCTTCTGTATGCTCTAAGAACTCCCCAGGTGGGATATGCAGCCAGTAGTCAGATAAGCTTAGGACTGCTAACCTCAAGGTCAGTAGTTCAAACCCACCAGTGGCAGAAAGATGAGGCTGTCTCAATGACAGTGGGTAGGTTATAGATTCAATGAGTCCTGGTGGCATAGTGGGATGAATTGGGCTGCTAGCTACAAGGTTAGCATTTAGCAGTTCACTCTGGAGGAAGAAGATGAAGCTGTTTGTTCTCAGAAACATTTACAGCTTAGGGAACACTAAGAAGCAGATCTGCATTGTCCTTTAAGATTGCTAAGAGTCAAAATTTACCCAACGGCAGTAGTGTGGGTGGTAGATTGAAGTGCCCTGGTGGCACACTGGTGAAGCACTGGGCTGCTAGCCAAAAGGTCCAACATTTCAATGCACTAGCCATTCTGCAGGGGAACTACCTGACAATCTGCTCATGGGCAGGCTTATAGCTTTGCAAAATAGGTGTGGCAGTTCTCTGTACTGTAAGGTCCCTATGACTTGGAATCAACTCATCAATAACACGGTTGGGCTGTGGCTTCTAGTAGCATTTCCAACAGGGAAGTGAAAAAAAATAGTAGTTAGGTGCAGCTTTTCAAAATTACCACTTAGGGGGGGAAAGGACTTAAGCTTTATGTAAAATATTTTATCATGCAGTCATTAACAACATCTATCACTATCTATTACTCTTAGTTGGTGGTAGTTAAGAATCCATAACTGGGGATCCATTGTGAATATTAAGCCTAAATTCCTTGCAGACACTAATAGATTGTTACTTTAGAGAAGTTGGCAAAGCTTTCTATACCTGTTGATAGGTTGGTACTCCATGATTGCTTCATCAAATAGAACTCGTCTTCCTGCCAATCAGTTTTCTTAGAGCCTCTTTCATGTCCTTGTTCCTCAGACTGTAGATAAAAGGGTTCAGCATGGGGGTCACCACCGTGTACATCACAGTAGTTACAGTGTCTGTCTCGGCTGAGTGAGAGGATGATGGGCTGAAATACTCAGCAATGATGGTGCCATAGAAGAGGGAAACCACAGCCAGGTGGGAGCTACAGGTGGAGAAAGCTTTCCACTTTCCTTTTGCTGATGGGACTCTCAGGACAGCAGAGGTGATGCAAATGTAGGAAACCAGGATGCAAACCAATGGAATCGTTATTATCAGACCTCCCACAGTAAGAATCAACATCTCATTGAGGTGTGTGTCAGAGCAGGAGAGTTTCAGGAGAGGAGCTGCATCACAGAAATAATGAGGGATTCTGTTGTCTGCACAGAATGAGAGTCTAGCTATCAACAAGGTATGCAACAGAGTGTTTAGACAAGCAATGCCCCAAGAGGCAGCAACCAGCAGAGCACAGAACTGAGGGGTCATCTTTGTTGTGTAGTGTAAGGGGTGACACACAGCAACAAAGCGATCATAGGCCATCACAGCCAGGAGGAAATTGTCTATATCCACACACAGGAAAAGAAAATACATCTGAGTAAAACACCCCAAGAAGGAGATAGACTGACTCCCAAGAACGTGATTGGTCAACATCTTGGGGATAGTGGTAGATGTGAAGCAGATGTCCACAAAGGACAGGTTGCTGAGGAAGAAGTACATGGGGGTGTGCAGGCTGGAGTCTGTGCTGATGGCCAGGATGATGAGCAGGTTGCCCAGGACTGTGGCCAGGTACATGCCCAGGAAGAGCACAAAGAGGAGCTGCTGCTGCTGGGGCTGCCTGGAAAGCCACAGGAGCAGGAACTCGGAGACACTCGACTGGTTTGCTCCACTTATAGGTCTAGGTCCAAAAGCAGGGAAGAGAAAGAGTGGATAGAAACCTAGGAATTGAGGTTCACATGTGACAAGTCAGGCTCCAGCCTGGGTTTGTTTATTTTACCAGTACGCAGCCAACTTCCTGGCTCCCAGTCATAAATGATGCTGCTCCCAGTGGACCCATCCTCTTAATTTTATAAAACACATGTAGACATATACTCAGCCCATTTCTATGATTGTGCATGTCTCTTTTAACATTTCCCAATCATTTCTTCACTCCTTAATACTTCATAAAATGATCAAAGAAACAACGAATTATTAGTGAGTTTATCTCAAGATCTAGTCCTAAGTGGATTTAAGAATTCTGCTATTACTCCCTGGACCAGCACAATTTAACAAAAGGCAGTCCAAAAAGGCCTTCATGCCTTAATGAGCAAATATTTATGTCACCTCTTCTGCAATCTTACCTGAAGGAGGTTGGTGTTATAACTATCTTGTGTTCTTCACCTTTGTGTGACTGCCCAATGCTTCTCTATATTGGAAAGTCTTAGAAATATAAGTGGGTCCTGAGCAAGTGAGTAGCCAGGGTTCATGGTCTCAATCCTGAGTGTATGAAAAACACTTTGAGGGAAATTACACAGCAAGCATTTACAAGAGCCTCCATGGCCATTGGTGCCATAGTCCCTGAGAGGCTCGTTAGACACAGAAGAGAGTAATTGTCTGGTCCGTCTTTTGGGTCCTTTGGACTAAACAATGATGACAATGGATAGCATTGTAATTCCTAAATCAGGACTTGCATATGATACCATCTTGGTGGAGACAACTTACAAACAGCGCCCCCTAGGACCTCAAATCTCACTCATCTGGGCTTACATGGATGGACTTGAAAATTCAGGACATAAAACGTTTTCCTTCTTACTTTCTTCGCTCAGAAAGATAATTTATTGCAGTGTTGTCCATGTAAACTTATTTGTTTTCTGATCTTCAGGTATGGTCATCTGCATAGGCATATAGTGGTGTTTGCCAGTTGGGATGTTGGGACACCTTATAGAGTCATTCTCAGTCCTTTAATGCATTAGATGTGGAGAATAATCTCTTGGGAATAGGTGAATGGGGAGAGTCAGGGAGATAATAAGGAGAGCATAGTATATCATGATTGAGGAAATCCAGGCTCAGGAGTAGATTTCTCTTGGGGTTTCCTCCCAACTCACACCAGAGAATGTTCCCCCAAACCCATAGGGCTCCAAGAGTGTGTACTCTTTGTTAGGGGCCATTGCATCAGTTTCAGGTCTATGCACCACAGAAAGAAGAACTGCCCAGTCCTGCACCATACCCACAATTGTTCCTATGTTTCAGCCCATTGTTGCAGCCGCTGTGTCAGTCCATCTCCTGGAGAGCTATCCTCTTTGTCACTGTCCCTTGATTTTCCCAAAGATAATGTCTCGCTCCAAAGACTAATCTCTCCTGGCAACATGTCCAAAGTACATGAGAATGAGTCTCTTCATTCTTGCCTAAGAAACATTCTGACTGTACTGCTTCCATGACAGATTTGTTCGTTCTTTTGGCAGTCCATTGTACTTTCAATATTCTCCACAGCATCATAATTCAAATGTATCAATTCTTCTTTGGTCTTCCTCATTCAATGTCCGAATTTCACAAGCACATGAGGCTGCTGAAAAGATGTTGGCTTGGGTCAAGCCCAATTTAGTCCTCAAAGTAACATCCTTGCTTTTCAACACTTGAAAGAGGTCTTGGGCAATAGATTATCCTAATGATGCCTGTCATTTGATCTTCTGAGTGCTGCTTCTATGATCACATCCTCCAGCTTCTCTGATTACTTGTTCAGCATACAGATTGAATAAGTATGATGATAGGATACAACCCTGACACACACCTTTCCTGATTTTAAACCATGCAATGCTCCCTTATTCTGTTGACACAATTGCCTCTTGATTCATCTACAAGTTTTGCATGAGCACCAAGAAGTGTTCTGGTTTGCCTATTTTTCTCAAGGCTATCCATAGCTTATTGTGATCCACGCAGTGAAATGCCTTGCTGTAATCAATAAAACACAAGTAAACATTTTTCTGATATTCTCTGCCTTCATCCAAGATCCATATCACCAATGATATCTCTTGTTTCACATCCTCTTCTGAATCCAGCCTGAACCTCTAGTTCCCTTTCAATGTATTGCTGCAACTGTTTGGATGATCTTCAGCAAAACATTACTTGTATTTTATATCAATTATATTTTTCTATAATTTGTGCATTCTGTTGGGTCACCTTTCCTTGGGAAGGGTACAAATATGAATCTCTTCCAGTTCATTGGCCATGTAGCTGTCTTCTAAATTTCCTTGCACAGATGAGTGCTTCCAGTGTTTCATCAACTTATTTTCCAGTGTTTCATCAATATTTCCATTGATGGTATTCCATCAATTCCTGGGGACTTGCTTTTGGCTAATGCTTTCAGTATAGCTTCAACTACTTCCTTCAGTACTATTGGTTCTTGCTTATATGCTACCTCCTGAAATGGTGGAACGTTGACTAGTTCTTTTTGGTACAGTGACTCTGTGTATTCTTTCCATCTTCTTTTGATGCTCCCTGCATCATTTAAATTTTTCCCTATGTTAATACTTTTATTTATTTTTATTTTTGAAATCATTTTATTTGGGGCTCATACAACTTTTATCACAATCCATACATACATACATTGTGTCAAGCACATTTGTACATTTGTTGCCCTCGTCATTCTCAAAACATTTGCTTTCTACTTGAGCCCTTGGTATCAGCTCCTCATTTTCCCCCTCCCTCACAAACCCTTGATAATTAATAAATTATTATT